GCATGTATTCGAATCAGTCCTGATCTACAGCATTAATAGGTTCAATGATTTCGACATAACTGAAAACGAATAAACCTTTATAGAACAGAATAAGGTGCTTATTGACTTATTTCACACCCCTCTTTATCTACCACTTTTAGAACCCGAAGATGGCAGCATAGGAGGTTTAGGTGCAACGAGTCACGAAACAACTAGACTGAAAAAGAATGCCCTCCAGTTGACAGAAGAGAACAATTTGCTCAGATTGAAGGTTGAAATCCTTTTAGACATGGTAGGTAAGCAGGGCAGTTCTACGCCAGCAAGTAGAATCCTTATTTGCGATAAACATTATCTAATTGAACTTCCCCTAAATATATATTAATTCGTACCCTTTATCCCTTCACTCAAACGAAATGCAGATTGAGCCACTGATGGTCTCCTTACCCCATATAATTCATATTTTTTGAAGTTTTGCAATAAATTATTGTTTTGGTCTGGTTTTACCTCGTTTTCGCAACATGGCCAGGGGAAAAGGAAGACCTCATCGAAGGTTCTCTGCTATCTTATCTAGGATAATTCTCTGCATTCCTGACTATCATTTATGTAGCTTCCTTCTCATATTTGACTTATTCTGTTCAATCAAACAACTATTGGTCCCAATATCTTAGAACTATCTTTTATTTCCTCGAAATATTTTTAAGTTTCGAAGTATTTATAGTAACCTTATTTACCAATAAAGGTGTCTATCTGAGTGCTGTCACTTAGAAAGATGGCTTTGTAAACATCATATAGACATCATTGATCATTTTTTGTGAATTTAAAATTCATTTCCAGGCTTCTTGAGTAGAATTGTGATGACTTTATGAACATAGGATACCAATATATTAGAGGCTGGAAGATAGACGAGCATCATATCGCATTGCGTCTGTTTTCTTGGGGCAAAGCCAAGTTTATGCATACTATGGGCCCTTAGTTTTGTCTTGCCTTGCTGACTGGCTACGACCGCCATTACAGGATATCTACATTTACCAACTAATCTCATTGCCTGTTCGATTCAACTCCTGTGACCTTTTCAGACCATGACAATATAATTTCGAATTCTATTCGTATTGCTATTCGGCAGTGGCTTTAGGGTATAATCTCGGGTCCATGATCACAGCTGAATGTGATAATGGTCTGAATTAAGCCGACAGTTAATGAACAGGTAATATTTGTCATCTTACCGGTGATACCTCTTAGAAAATGCATCCTGGATTGGAATAAACACTGTTAAGTTGTCCTATTTAAAATCCATTTATGCTTTTGCTAGTCATGCAATTTATTTATTCCTAAAAATCATGTTTAATCTTTTTTCGCCTATTTACTCGCTTTTTGCCTACCTTCTTTCTTCAGGTGGCCGAGACGACTGCCGAAGTTCATTTGCAGGAGAATGAAATAGATAATTTACGGGCTCTCCTGCAGAAGAATTTCGCTGTCCCTCAGCCTTCACCTGCTGCTAGCAGTAGCAGAATGGCTGGCCTGGCCAGATAGATCTGTGAAACGATTTGTGTGGTCAATGAATTGGGCAAACCTCACATCACTCCCTTCCTTATTGTTCAAGATAGAGTGGGGGAGAAAGGCTAATGTCTCCAAGAGGACTTGGGCGAAGGGACAGGGTCCGTTTGCTGATTCCAAAGGCCTCGGATTAAAGTGTTTCCTAACAAATTCGCCTTTGCGAACTCCATACATATTGCCTTTCTCATTCTTACCAAATTATTCGCCGATCATACATAATCCAGATGAGATTTTACTGCACTTAAGCTTTTATTATCTTATAGTGTGGGCTAGTCTGGGTCACTTGCTTTTTAGACTGAACGATGCTTTTTATTGTTACCCTCTTATTTATTTTGCTTGTATCTACGTTTCTCTCGTCAAATTTTGCTAATGTGTACTTTAATAGTCTGTATTTTTCCCATTTCGAATGTTCAGATAATGCCATTTTTGTAAAAGCTCATTATTTAAACATGGTAAAAAGTATTTTGAACTCTACTTGCTTGCTGTTGTGAGACTAAGATTTGGGTGTCTTAATTATTCTTTATATTCTTAGCTTTTTCTGCCAAAGCAGACATGTTTACTATTGATTTTTCTCACTATTATTATTGTTTATACTGCATCATATGAGTGGATAATGCCTTTATTTTAAATTCCTTTTTTCTCAGGAATCAAGGACTTAGTCATTCAAAGTATGAACTTAGAAGATAAATCCCATAGTATATTTTCATCTTTTTGACTAGAGCACCTCTACAGCAAAAATCATAGATAGATACTAAGAGGAAAGCCTTCAGCTTGCCATAAGTAACCATGGGGCGGTAAGGGTGCAGAAATTTTACTATTGCAAAAACTACACTTCACTGTTGTATCATTTACAATGAAATTTAACTAAAGTATTGCATAAATTGTTAGAACTGTAAAAAATTCATTTTACGGTCATAATCGTAAGCACCTGGGTACATGGGGTGAGACGTTGAATGAGTCAAGTTTTACTTAACATAACAAGCTTTGTTTCAAATCACGAGATCGTAGAATGTCATATTGTTAGGTAGACTTAGGGAAACGCACCTAGTCCGGAGTCCATTGTATGTATGATAATTTACAGAGTCGGACTGTGGAGGTAGTACATTTCCAGGCGCTTCGCCGACATCGTCAGTGGGTTTTGCCATTCTTAGCCCCACAATACAACTCGGCAAAGAGGCAAGTGAAGCCGATCCTTTGACTTATTGTCTACCAAACAATCGTATTATCTCTCCTTTCCCCCTGGACTAGTCACCGATCCTATATCCTCGTATCACGCCTTCACTATCACAATTGCCTACTTGTTTATTTAAATGTGGTATGGTGTGCCCTTTGAGCGGCTTTCATGATAACACTTCACACTCCACATTGGCTTCTCACCTACCTCTCCACCCTTGTGCTGGGAATGCTGATCGGAGTCTGCTATATTGTTACGCAGTCCTTCCCTAGGTTTTATCAAAGTCTCCCTCTTGCTCCGTAGGATCTGTCTGCTATCACCCTCGTTCAAGCATTTCACTCGAACTCTGCCACCCCATCTCTGCTACTCGAGGCGTTATTTCCCACACTCTGCCTCTGGGAGACTAACTCGAGGCTAAAGCCTCTGAGTAATTGTCATGGTCAAGCCATTGCTTCATGGACCACGTCTATGGTAAATCAGGCCTATTGTCAGCCAACTAGCTATAATCTCGCCGCATCTATCCTGTTTCTATCCGTAATGACTAGTCTATGACTTCATATGCCATAATCTCTTGTGTGCCAACGCACAAATGTTGTTTAACATTGAACCTGATCATAGCAAGCAGTACTACAACATTTGTGGGTTGGCGCACAAGAGACTAGGGCATAGGAAGTCATAGACTCGGTATTAAGGATAGATGTGTCTCATGGAGACCACTCAATTTCGTGCCCAGGTTCTGCCTCGTGTTCAGCCAGCTCTGATTTTAGAGCCCAACAGCTGCTGCAGGCGTGACTTAAACCATGATAGTGCAGTATATAAGCTCGACACCTTAACCACTATGCTACACTGCTTTAGTATCTATTAGGCAATGGGAATAATAATCTTGAATCAAGATATCCTAGTTTAATGGTTTTAGTCAGTGATTCCCAAATTGTGCGCAGGGGCGCCGCGAAATATTGTAAAAGCTTCCATTTGAAAAAATATTTAGTGATCTGCAGGCTCATTTATCACATCAATTGTTAAATATTAATTTTATATTCATAAAGTAAAAAAATAATGAAGATACACGAGTTTTATTTTTTTTATCTCTTACTTACGAATAGTCATACT